CCCATCAACCAGAAATGAAGTATATAATTTATATGTTGAAACAGCAGAAAGTAAAGAGGAAGAAAAACTAGAAGTTGAAGGGCTAATGGCTATAAATATCTAACTTGTTAGGAAAAAAAAAAGAAGGGAATGTGGTAATAAATTTAATCGGGCTCCTAACTACTTGACTAAGAAAACAAACAGAGACCAGAGGTGCTGATACTGCTTATTTCACTTATATGTTCTGAGATAAGGAATCCTGCATGCCTTGTTTTGTCTTGATATATTACCCTGTGTACGGATGTTAAGTTTATTTTTCTCTCTGAGAAACCAGAAACTGATAACTATTTCTATAAGCACAATGTTTCACTCTTCTTTAAGTAAACTGCCTGTATGCCTGTGTGTGTGTTAGATCAGTGATTTATTGTCCAAGGTCGTACTTTTTTCTGTCTCTGTCTTAAGTAACAATATGCTTGTAACCTTGTAGAGTTCGAGGATTCCTTTGAAACAGACAAGTGGGTGATTCTCCTTGCTGTATGGAACTCTCCCTGTGATCACAGTATAGCCCTGAATAAAGAAAAGCTGGCTCTGTCAGTTCTGATTCAACCACAATGCGAAGTTTGATTTCTTCCACAGTACAAACTAGTGAAGAGTAAATTCAGGTTAGACATTAGGAAGAATGTCACCTGGCTGGGGTCATCTGATCTCGGTCCTCTTTCCTGCCAGAGGCAGAGGCAGGGGACACGATGATCCTTTGTGGTCCCTTCCAACTCTACAATCTATGAATCTATGAAACCAGAAATGCTAAAGTTGGAGTTTTCCATGTAAACTGAGGGAATTAGGCATCTAACGAACTAAATATTAAGCATGCCCTTAACTTTAAGCATATGTTTAAATCCAGCTAACTCTAAAACATTCATTTGAATCACATTTAAGCACACATTTATCTGCTTTGCTGAACTGGGACTGGTCCAATGCCCATGAAGTCAATATTTAGTTTCTCTAATGAATACATTGACCTAAAAGACTCAACTTCTGTTAGAAATCATTTGGAAACTGTGGGTATTTAACTGGTATGACTTCTAAAGCATGCATTAAATATTGAAAATGTAGAGAATTCACAAAGTCTATTCCAATATTAAAATAATAATTCCAAGCTGCATATCTTACCTTGCCTGAGCATTGTTTGGGTCTTCCTTAATCACAGCTGTAAAATCCTCAATAGCAACAGTCAAAGCTGATTTCTCAAAGGAATGTATTCCATGTTTCATTAGTGCGTCTGTTCTTTTTGGGTTGCAACGAAAACACTACCATGAAAAATAAGAAGGCATACAATATTTGAGATCCAATAATTGTTATGCAACAGTCCTACTGATTAACTGTCCAATATTTAAAAATCTGATTTAAAAATTCTGATTTAAAAATCAGAAACCAAATGGCAAAGAATGTGTTACATAAATTATCTTCCATTCTTTAAAAAAATGTCCTTGTTCCTGGATCTCCTTTGCCATTTTTCTCCATTTGTCTGAAAAAGGGAGCACACATCCAATTGAAATAAGCTTATAAATTAACAGTTAATTTAGTTCTCTGTCTGGGTATGAGTTACAGAAATTATGTATTAACTTCCATGGCTCTGACATTCTTTCCTTTTCTCTGTCTTGTTAGAGTAACTCTTTCTGAAAGCTATTTGCAAGACGCATATAGTTGCCACTGTACTTTAAAACAACAAAAAGGTAAACCTACTTTAGTATAATCTTCCATGGCCAATAACAATTCGTTTTCATTCTCCAACAGCTCAGCTCTCCGGAAATAAATGTCATCATCAGTAGGGTTGCATTTCTCTGCTAATGTGTAATTTATGATTGCCAATGCATTATTACCCTGCCTTCTATAAATTTCAGCCTTTGACAAATATGCATCTGAAATGCATCAAAAAAGTAAAGGGCAATATGTAAAAACATAAAATACTAACAATTCATCTGTCACTTACATAAAAATAATACAATATTAATAATAATAAAAGTAGGTTCCATTGTCTCACTCTTCCAGCAGACCACAAATTTTGGAATTATATCTCTGTCCTCACAACCTTAACATACAGCAGTTTTCTAACCCACACAGTTCTAACTGATAGCTCTTCTGAGGTTCCCTAGGCATGGTGAGTCTTTACTAATTCAAATACATTTAAACACATTTTACAGGGCACACCTGCAGGTGCATTAACACACTTTAGTTAATGTGCATTAAATGTATTACCTCCGGGCATTTATACACATGCTCCAGAAGTGGGGAGGGGGCACTTTAATTGGAGCCACTCTAACTAAAGCACCCAAAGTGTCTCATGCATCCGCGTCCACATGCTTCAAAATGGCAGTGGGGGCATTTTATCTAAAACTCAAATAAGCTCCATTTTGAAGTGTGGGATACACCAGATGTGGGAGGCTGCTGGAGCATGGTAATTGCCAAGCTTCAGCAGACTCAGTTAATCGAGTCTGCTCCAAACCACTGGAATTCAGCGTGTCAGAGCAGCCTCCCTGCTCGTGTATAGGCACCCTCTTTTGTGAGGTACTAGGAAAATGCACGTTAGCCTGTCTTAATGCATATTAACTAAATAGCACTGTTTTTTTTAGTGACACTTTAATGCACATTGAAATAAGCTAAAGCACGTTAAAGTACATGTGTAAACGTGCCCACAGTGTCCTAAAACTTCAAGGCCATTTTAGTCTAACTAATGTAACAGCATGGCCTACCTTGCATACTTCTGCACAACATTCTAAACTGTAGATTGAGATTACAAAAGAAATTCTACATATGCATGAAAGCTCCTAGCAACTTCAAAGCTAATATATTTTAAACTCAGCATGTGGCTTTGAGACACACTGCAAAAAATGTAAGTGTGGACAAACTAAGAGCCATGAGTTAGGTCATATTTGTGTAAAACTTCTGATTAAACCTTACAAAAGAATGTTTATACCCATACACAAACCTCAAAACAATTTTGCTCCACCTTTCAAGAACAATGAACTTAAGGTAAGTAACAAAATGTCAGTCTAAAATAAATTAGTTTGGTTACATATGAATAGCTAAAAAAGGAAGTCAATAAAATGATATTTTAGTCTTAAAATACATTTTAATCTTAACTGCTGTGGGTAGCTACTAATCCCACTATTTGCATGCAATAAAAATTAGAATAAAAGGAAAAATATGACTGAACTCCCCAAAACACAAAATGGGACAGTGGATACATCTAGTGGACAAAGAGGATTGATGGGCAGGGCTGAGGAGAACATAGTTTCTCTCTGCCTTAAAACAATGAGGAATCTCCAACCTTGCACAGCTACTTGTGGGATGGAAAAGAATTGGCTCCTGGAGCCATGTCCAGTCCCACCAGTCTTCTTAACCACCCTAAAGCACAAACAGACTAACAGCTACTTATCATAGGGCTCTCTTGCTTCAGGAAATCTCTAGTTGACCACAGTCCCAGTTAGGTCCACAGGCAAGTCTATACTAATAGTCCCCAAATGCTGGTGCACATAACATTTCAGGTTCTTCTTTCTCTCAAACAAGGGGCCACCAGCCATTTTTCAAAAACAATTTGCCTTCCACCTGCCCTCCTTCACATATATCCTTTTTGTTCTGCCACTAATTGGGTGAAGTTTCCCCCTGTTTAGTTCCTCCTTCTATTCTAACACCTTTCAGACAATAGTTAAGGCCCTGGTTGACAAAATGCAGAACAGCTCATTGACTTAGATTGGCTAATGCAGGGTTTGTAAACCCTTCTCAGGATCAGTATCAGCTTTCTTAATAACAGTAATGGATAAAACTTCATTATACTTGTTTAAATATTGAAATAAAATACATAGTTACTGTTCTAAAATATCTGACTTTGGCTCTGATCCTGCAAATACTTGGGCTTAGATTAAACCTTACAAGCTGCAGGTTACCCTACTGAAGAGATTTAAGAACATGCAAAAAAATCAGCGTAGAGTTGGATAATTTGTAAGAAATAAAATGTTTAAATTCAGCAGTCACAATTCAAGGCACTCACCCACACTATTTTTGTTCCACTTAATTATATAATTCAGGTCATCCAAGGCAGCTGGAATCTTGGCTTGAAAGAGGTAAATTAAATGTCTGTGCCAATATGCATTAAGTAACAGTGGTTCTAAGCTTACAGCCTATGAAAGAAAATGTGAAATAAATATATTATTTATACTTAATGTGCAAGGAACTTCCTGAATACAGAGAATTAGTCCAAAATGCAAATATTATGTAAATAATATGAAAGCTCCAAAGCTTGGAAACACTTGGGTCGCCAACTGGCTGGAGGGTCACACCCAGAGAGTGATAGTGGAAGGGTCATTTTCGACCTGGAGGGATGTGGGCAGTGGGGTTCAGCAGGGCTCGGTCCTCGGGGCCCGCACTGTTCAACATCTCCATCAGTGACTTGGACGAGGGGGTAAAAAGCACCCTGTTCAAATTTGCTGATGACACTAAGATATGGGGAGATGTGGGCATGCTAGAAGGGAGAAATAGGCTGCAATCAGACCTAGACAGGTTACAGGAGTGGCGGATGAGAATAGGATGGGATTCAACACTGACAAGTGCAAGGTGATGCACCTGGGGAGGAAGAACCAGCACCATACCTACAGGCTGGGGAACTCCCTTCTTGTCAGTGCAGAGGCAGAAAAGGATCTTGGAGTCATCATTGATGCCAAGATGAATATGGGCTAGCAGTGTGGGGATGCAGTCAGGAAGGCCAACCTCAGCTTGTC